ATGTGAAAAGTGACGCATGCAAAATTGCCTATTTCTCGTCAACTGCACATTTTACAAACTAATTTTCACATACATTCTCTGCGTATGGATTATTGCTACTAGTTTATGAAAGTTACGAAGAAATATTTTAAAATATGAAGACGCTGAATGGTTTCAAAATAGCTTAATTTTACACTTTTTTTCACCTTTTAATTGAAATAGCCTGAAAACGAAATCGAAATTAAAAAACTAAGTCCGATGTTTTGTTCACCTTTGCATGGTGCATCCTTTTGGTAATATAATATTTGCTTTCAAAAAGTGGTCAAAATTATAGTTTTTGTTAATATTATGTCACTTTCGGTGCCGACAGATAACTCTATCGGTAACAAAAAAAATGACATTTTGGAAAAAGGAGCATCTGAACTTTGTTTTAAACAAATCGAACAATAAATAATCAATCTAGGAGTGAAAAACTGAATTAGCCAATGGCGGCCAAGCAAAATTATCTAATTCAGACGACCCTTTAATCCTTTCTAAAATACCATCAAAAAATATAAATAAAAAAGTTTTCTGTATACATTTAAATTTTCAAAATTTGGCACTTAATATTTTCAAAGATTCGTTGAAAATCAACCAGCGGCTGCCAGGCAAGATACGCCCACATTTTGTAAGAGATGGATAGAGAACAAGCTAAAAACAAACGCGATTTTTTGTATAATCAGGGGCAATAATCCAGAAAGTTATGGCCTGAAATGTGCAAATATCAAAAGGGACAGAGATCTTGGGATATAAAGATATGTTTTAAGTTTCATCAAAATCGGATAAAAATTGTGACCTCTAGAGGGTCCACGAGTCCACAACCTTTGTATTACACACTTCTACACAATTTGCGTACAAAGAGCGGCCATGTTGTCGGGAAGTTTCATTTTGATTTTCCCGAAATTCAAATCCAACCTTCATTATGGTGGAATGGTGATGCATTTAAACGGTTTTTAAAATCGGAAAAAAATTGTGACCTCTAGAGAATCCGTTAGCTAAAAATGTGATTTTTCGAACAATCTGGGGCCATAATCCAGAAAGTTAAGTTTGGGTATCCTTGATTATCAAAAGGAACCAAGATCTTAGTGTGTAATGGTGATATATTCACACGTTTTTTTTAAATCAGATAATAGTTGTGACCTCTTCAGGAACCACAAGCTAAAAACAGGATTTTTTGTTCAATCAAGGGCCATAATTCAGGAAGTTACAATCCGATATACGCGAATATAAAAAGGAACCGAGATCTTAGGGTGATAAACCTATATTTCAAGTTTCATTGAAATCGGATAAAAATTGTGACCTGTAGAGTGTTCAAACAATTGTGGACAGACAGGGGCGGCAACAATATACGTCCACTTCTCGATTAGATAACTTTAATTCACTTTTAGTTGGTTTACCTTTTAAGCTGATAGATAAATTACAAAAAGTACAGAATACTGCAGCTAGACTTGTTACTTTAACTAAGAAATGTGACCACATAACTCCTGTTTTATATTTATATTTACACTGGTTACCTGTTAAATATCAAATTGATTTTAAGATTTTATTACTTACTTTTAAATGTTTAAATAATTTAGCTCCTGTTTACCTCTTGGATCTTTTAGAACTTTATACACCTGGCCGAACATTACGTTCGTCAGATAAATTACTTTTAAAGCCCAAAACTGTTCAATTAGTCTTTCATGGTCAGCGCTCTTTTAGTTATCAAGCGCCTGTTTTATGGAATAATCTACCATTTAGTTTAAGATGTTGTACATCTCTATATTCTTTTAAAAAACAACTTAAAACACATTTATTAAATCAGGCTTTTAACTGACTCTGTATACAATTGTTAACATGTCCATAATCTTGTTGTTTATTTATGATTACATTGTCACTTTGTAAAGTGCCCCTGAACATGTTATATGAAAGGGCGCACTATAAATATGCTGTAATAATAATAATAAAAATCAAAAGTAGCATAGCTATGTCCCCTGTCTACGGCTATGTAAAAATGCATCATATATTAAAATCCGATGATTATTGTTAATAATACGGCAATATTTAAAAAAAACAACAACTTTGGTGATTTCAGACATTTCGAATTGTCGCAGAACTTTAGAAATAGCTTTAAAATTTAAGTCAAACCCAATTTCCCAGTGAATCCGAAGACATCGAATTGATCCGACAAGTAGTTTCTGAGATATGCTCAAATGGAAAAATAATAAGAAGAACTAGAACTGCGATGCAGTAATGACGGGTTTCACCGGTGCCCCGTTACCCTTGAACATATGTCACTTCCGGTACCGACGAAACCATTAAACAGGTTTCCATTTAAGCATTGCACACATCACATAAAATGTACGCAGAATCAACCAAATCCGGCAATATCAATTCATTGTATACATTCATTACATGTAAGTGATCCTGACAACATTACATTACTTCCAGTGATAATGAAAATGTTAAATTAGTTTCATGAAATCAGAAATAGCATAAGGCATCACATGGTGAAAATTTTATGTAAATCGAATATTTGCCACTTTTATAGACCAAAATCCTTGAAAAGTGACTTGTAGAAACTCGTCTATTTCTCTGCAACCGTACAAGTTAGAAACCATTTTTTGGTATTTGTATGATCGTGTGGGTTCAATCTATTTGTTGATTGGCATCAAATATCATAATTTTAAAAACAATACAAATCAGACTCATTTGAATAAAATATCTGTTTTGAAGGCTAAAAATACAGTTTTTGCCACAGTAAAAGTGTTAAATTACTTGTATGAAATCGTAAATGACCTTAGGTATCACACAAGGGAAATTTTATGAAAATCGAATAATAATTGACACTTTTATGGACCAAAAACCTTGAAAAGTTACCTGTTGAAAATCGTCTATTTCTCCGCAACTGAACAAGTTAGAAACCATTTTGTGATATCTATATGATCGTTTGGGTTCATTCTATTAGTTGATTGGAATCAAATATCAAAATTTTAAGCAAATAACAAATAAGACTCATTTGAATAAATTACTGGTTTTGAAGGTTATAAATACAATTTTTGCCCAAATTACGTCATTTCCGGTGACATTGAAAATGTTAAATTGGTTTGACCTTGTTAAAATTGACATTACGCATCAAATGATGTCACTTTTATGAAAATCGAATAATAATTGACTCTTATACAGGCAAACTAGCGTAAAAAGTGACTCATACAAAATTTACCATTTCTCGGCAACTGTTCATATTACAAATTAATTTTCACATACATTCTCTTCGTATGGATTATTGCTACTAGTTTATGAAAGTTGCGAAGAAATATTTTAAAATATGAAAAGCCTGAATGGGTTGTGAATAGCTCATTTTTTCACCTTTTTTCACCTTTAAATCGAAATGATCCGAAAACGAAATAAAAATTAAAAAAACTGAGCGCGATGATTTCTGCGCATTAACAGGGTAAACCCTTTCAGTCATACCAGATTTGAATTATAATCTGCAAGTTTCATTGAAATCGGTTGATAATTGTGTTCTGTAGCCGTGCCACATGAAATGTGTGATAACCTGATATCTCAGAAACCGCTAACCGGAAGTGGCCGAAATTTTGGCTACTCTGAGATATTATTAATATTATTATAATCTGCAAGTTTCATTGAAATCGGTTGATAATTGTGGTCTGTAGACGTGCCACATGAAATGTGTGGTAACCTGATATCTCGGAAACCGCTAACCGGAAGTGGCCGAAATTTCGGCTACTCTGAGATATTATTAAAATAATCATAATCTGCAAGTTTCATTGAAATAGTTTGATAATTGTGGTCTGTAGCCGTGCCACATGAAATGTGTGGTAACCTGATATCTCGGAAACCGCTAACCGGAAGAGGTCGAAATTTTGCCTACTCTGAGATATTATTAATTTTATCATATTCTGTAAGTGTCATGAAAATCGGTTTATAATTGTGGTCTGTAGCCGTGCCACATGAAATGTGTGGTAACCTGATATCTCGGAAACCGCTAACCGGAAGTGGCCGAAATTTTGGCTACTCTGAGATATTATTAAAATAATTATAATCTGCAAGTTTCATTGAAATCGGTTGATAACTGTGGTCTGTAGCCGTGCCACATGAAATGTGTGATAACCTGATATCTCGGAAACTGCTAACCGGAAGTGGTCGAAATTTTGCCTACTCTGAGATATTATTAATGTTATCGTTATCTGTAAGTTTCATTGAAATCGGTTGATAATTGCGTTACGGAGACTTGCCACATGTGGCAAATAGTCTCCGGATTGTCTTACCACATGTGGCAAATAGCCCCAGCCTATTTTAAATACTCGCGTCATTTAAGTAATATATTGGTCCGATGGAGCCTTGTCGTGGTCCCAATCAGCCATAAATCTGGTCCCAGTCAGCCAAGAATCTGGTCCCAATCAGCCACAAATCTGCTCCCAGTCAGCCAGGTCCCAATCAGCCATGGTCCCAATCAGCCAATAACCGAGTTAGAGACTTAGCTACTTTAAAGGCTCAATACCACTCTTGTTGTAACTGAATAATATCTCCCAATCTTTATTCTGGTCAACAAATTGTACTATTTTAGAATATTTCAATTAATTGATGATACAAATTTCATCTTAACACACCTTATTTAAAAATTTTGAAAAATTCAACATAATGGTTTGAAACGTCTAACGTAAACCTTTTCAAATGAAACTTTGATTTAAAAATATTTTCGAACCCTCTGGACAAGTAAAATAGGATGTAATGGATAATTTACACAACAGGTAGGACACTTAAACATCTAGTACTTAGATAGAGATATTATGTATTTTCTGGAGCTTTCAAGCCAGCAAGAGTGTTATTGTCCCTTTAATATCAGGATAATAAATTCAAAATTATTTGAAATGCATTAGCATTAGCATTTTAAAGTGAAAAGTTTGGGTTAGCAAGTCACCGCTAGTATCTAAATCGTAATATATACGTACACAACACATGTATTTATGTATACTTACACTGTATCGAAGTCTCCAGTAACTAAAATCAACATGTGAAGTCAAAATAAACTTGAAATGATCGAACAAGGAAAAACACACCACTTTCCCTTCGCCTTAATGGGGTGAACAATTTTAGCGATGTTTCATTGGATGACGAACTCGGGCGACGTTACTAAAATTAGAAACCAGCTATGCACCACGGCACTCTCGACCACTCGCTATCCCGCAATCGACTCTGCCCACGGCTCACGCACTAAACTGGTTGACCTAGAGGTCATTGATCACGTGATTAACTACATAATAATAATAATAATAATAATATCTTTATTTTCAAAGGTGAAAAATTAGGCTTAAAGCCTGTTTACAATTTTGCCCTTTATAACAAAGAAATGAAAAAGACAGTAACAGAACAAGACACTTAACAAATACTCACACACAAAACATTCAAATATATACTGATAAACTAAAAGAAAAGTAATGACTATTGTCATTGACTAATAATATTATTGATACTGATAGATATAATGTAGTAAGTAATAGTAAAATGACATCTGTCAGAAAAGTTTCTGGCGTTATAATTAACACTTGATGAGTTTTATTCAATTTTAGTCATCAGTTATTACTCCTCCGAAAGAAAACAGTCTAATTTTGCATGTTTCGTGTGTGTATTAGGCCTTACGATCTCATTATAAAGGTAAACAGATCCACGTGGGTTTGGATTGTTCGTAATTTTAATTCTAAAATTAGCACGGCGACATACGGAGTTCGTATTTCCGACCATTTAACCCTGTAATCTTACGCGAAAGAGCTCCCTGTAATATTTGTAAATACATTGTTACTTTGCAATTGTGACCCCATTTCTACTTAAATATGGTAATAGTATTAAATATATTATCATTTATTTGTTTTAAATCACATTGTTTATCATTGTCCATCAACACCAAAAATCTAGGTGGCGTAGTCAAATGAGCCGTTAGCAGAGATTGTTTGGACACAGCTCACCAAATAATTCTAAGGCGAAAGTTATTTTTAGTCTTTCTCTCCCTTTTCCTTTTCCCCCTTTTGCATGGCGATTTTTGTTAACTTTTTGGTGTAAAATCGAAGAAAAGGGTTTGAAAATATATTTTCTGCCAGGTTTTGGTGAATATTCATGATTTTGAGGCGGAAGGATACAAGAGTTGAGAGGTTGGTTACGTTGAAATGTAGGGTCAAAAATTGCATGTTTTTTTGTCTCTACTTCCAGCTTGTGTATTTCAAGTTTTCCGTGGTGAACCTCATACGTGCTTTTGGGCAAGAGGTTGCCACATGTTGCTTCATCTGTGGTAGAAAGCGTTCTAACCAACGAAAATTTGGGGAAAAGTCAGAGCCGGTCTAAGAGACGAGAATTAACATTATTTAAAGTCAATGGGGAAATCATTAGTGATCTGTGGCCTGTCTATGTGTGACAGGCTGAGACTGACATGCCTTAGTCTGAAAATATGAAGATTAAACTATCATGAAAATATGAATAAAACAGTAAGAAAAATATTTTAATGCCCAATTTTGGCTTATTCAGCCTCAGAAAGCACAGACTGAGACACAGTGAACAGTATTGTAATTTCACCAAATTTTGTCTAAAAATCAGGAATATTCACAGAAAATCTTTAGATTCCCCCCATTTCGATGTAGAAATTAATACCTTTTAAAATAAAGCCTTAAAATAGATGGTATCCATAACCCGTCCTACCTTGTTAAAGAATAATCCTATTAATCCTATAAGTCACTATTGCCAGCTGAGAAATTGGCAAAAATATCATTTTCAACTTCAAATTCCAACGTTTGAAGGTAGCTAGCCTAATGCACAGAGGCAATATGAAAACAAGGGAGGTAATTGTGTTATTTCTTGTGTCAATGATTTTTAAGGGTGGGAAATAATGCCCATGGTCGTATAATAGTGAGTTGATAACCTATTGAGGACATAGAAATAATAATATGTTTTGACTTTCTTAGAAAATATAAAATTATCGCTTTAAGCTTGTATAATGTTGACCACCTTTATTAATTCTAGCATTGATAGGTTTGCGCATGTTTGAGCTAGATCTGGTTTTAAATAAAAAAAATTCTCAAATGTTTGGTCTAAATAATATCAAGAGTTAAAGCAACTTGGGTTGAACTTTGTTTTGTCATTTTTCCCAAATTGATTCAGGTCAAATTGATAGTCAAAATGTCGAAAAAATGTCCTTATTTTCATTGCTAATATAACTTAGATGGGATCTACAAGTTTGTCAGGTTTAGAAATAGCCCATGCTTTCCTACAGAAAATTGAAAATTGGTAACACTGAGTTAATAATGTACAGCAGATGGGTTTGTACAAAACAGATGTTGGCTTAATTTTGCTTCTGTTTTACCCAGAACAGGCATTTTTTTCTTCTTTGAAACATTAAATTCTTGCATTTCCTTCAAGTAGAAAGCAGTATTCCAGTCTTTCTAGCCATTTTTAACTCTGCCATTCGGTTAAGAGAAGCTATAAATGCCCCACCCCACCCTTTTTTATTAATGTGTTTTGAGAGATTTAATTGCATCTGTGTTGACAATTAAATGATAGTAATTGGAATTTGTGGTTGAACTAGGAATGTTATTTTACACCAATAAATAGTTATTTTGTACATTTCAAAGATTTCTAGCCCTTTTTGTTTAAAGTCAAACTTAAAACCCTGAGACATGTCAGGCCAATGCGACCACACCCTGATATAACAATGGTGTAGATGTGTAAATGTCAGCTTAATGTTCAATATTTTCTGATCAAAATCTAGGATTTGTGGTGTTTGTTGCATTTAAGTTACTTATAGAACAGTCAAATGTTAATTTTGCTCCTTTTCAGGCCTCCTTCATGTTGTCAACTCTGTCATAACTACTTTTTTGACTTCATTTTTTCAGGCAATTGAGTTAAAGGTCCAGACATCTTGCTTCAGCACAAGAATTGCAATAAAGATTTGTATGGTGCCTCTGAGCCTTGAGATGTTGAAAACATTGAAATATTCCCAAATTTGTGAAAATTGTGTATTATGTGACCCTTTTGTTAGAGAGGGGTGGTCATAGACCAAATATGGCATTTTTTTCTTTCATCAAGGCCTATTTTTAACCATAATTCATATTTATTGCACATATTTTAGTTTATATGTACATATGTTAGCCAGGGTTGGTAAAACATAGTTATTAGACAGATTCCTTTGGTGATGTTACTTCTGCAACTGCAACCAAAGATTAGATTGATTCTGTCAGTGACATGATTAGGGGTTGGGAATACATGTTTCAGTTTAGATCTCTAATATTACCATCAATGCAGCTGATTTGTGATTTTTCTGTTTGCATATTGTCCAGGGTTTCTAAAAATATATTCCTTGCCCGTCTGGCTATCTAAAAAGTGGAAAATTATTGTTTTTTTGAAAGATGCTACATGTAAATTTTGTACATTTTTCATGACATGGCAGTAAAAAATTATATTTTTAAAAAAGAATCCAGCTTATGAGTGTTTTCTGTGTAATTTGTTTGTAACTTGTCTAATTTTTAAACAGAACTCAAATACTGCCTTTAATAAGAAAGATTTTTAAATTTTAGCACAAAAGGCTCATGGACCTGAGATGCACCGCTGTACATAAAGCATCATGTATACTTAAAGAGCCATCATTTTTGCAGTTTTTCTTTGATTTTGATTTCCTTTCACCAGTATGTTGCCAGAACATATGGGAAGCATATAAAAAAGGCTTTTTGGTAATACCTGAAGTTTCACCCCTATATAGGACACAGCTCACCAAATATTTCTATGCCCTCACCCACGAATGTAGGGCGAAAGTTATTTTTAGTCTTTCTCTCCCTTTTCCCTTTTCCCCCTTTTGCATGGCGATTTTTGTTGACTTTTTGGTGTAGAACGAAGAAAAGGGTTTGAAAATATATTTTCTGCCAGGTTTTGGTGAATATTCATGATTTTGAGGCGGAAGGATACAAGAGTTGAGAGGTTGGTTAGGTTGAAATGTAGGGTCAAAAATTGCATGTTATCTTGTCTCTACTTCCAGCTTGTGTATCTCAAGTTTTCCATGGTGAACCTCATACGTACTTTTGGGCAAGAGGTTGCCACATGTTGCTCCATCTGTGGTAGAAAGCGTTCTACCCAACGAAAATTTGGGAAAAAGTTAGAGCCGGTCTAAGAGACGAGAATTAACATTATTTAAAGTCAATGGGGAAATCATTAGTGATCTGTGACCGTTTGGACTGCAAGGGAAGACAACTCTGTTTGGGAGATGGAGGCAGACCACCATTACATTTGTAGTTCGTCTATTTATAGCAATTCTCTCTGTCTCCTTTCTCCCCTTTTGCGTGCCCATTTTTGTTGATTTTTGGGTCTAGAATGGACGAAGAGGGTTTGAATTAACATTTTCTGCCAGGTTTTGGTAAATATTCATGAGTTATCAGGTTGGCTACGGTGATATGTACGGCAACTAGTTACATGTTTTTAGTATGTTTCTTCAAGTTTGTGTATCTCCAAATTTTGGTGGTCAACCTCATACAAATTTTAGTGCAAAGACATGACCATTTGTTCCTCTGTAGTGAAAAGCATTCAGCCCAACGAAAATTTGGGGAAAAGTTGAAGGTGGGCAAAGAGGCCAGAATTAACACTGAAGTCAATGGGTAAACTAATGGTGGTCTGCCTCCTGTATGGAAACAACCTGACTGGTGGATGAAAGGCCTTAATTTGATGATATGATCTCCAAATTGTAAGAAAATGTGATATATGACATTTTGATAGTAAAAAAAGTGAAATGGTAAAATTTCAAAAATATTTGACAAATTTGTGAGGGGAAATTTTGATTTTAGTCAAAATTTTGTGATTTTCAGTGTTTATTTACTTTTCAAAATTTGTGGAAAATATTTTAATGTATGATTTTTACTTTTTCTGCATCATAAAGGCTAGATGGGAAGAAAGTATCATAATTTCACTCAATTTTGCCTAAAAAATCATGATAAGTTGTTTGAAATTCTTCAAATTACCCCCCTTATTGCTGTCAAAATTTTAATTATTCATCTGTTGTAAAATGAACCAAAATGTCTTGCATGTCTTTATTTTCATTGTTAAATAACTTGGAAAGGATCCTTGTGTTTGTCAGATATTGAAAAAGTATTCATGTGTTTGTCAAAAATTAAAAAATTAAGAAATTTAGTCTAATTATGTACTGTTGAGGTATGTT